AGAGAGAGCACGCGAGCACGAGCGAGTGTGAGCAGGAGACAGGGACCAGGGGCAGAGGGAGAGAGGGAAGCAGGCTCCAGGCTCAATGCGGAGCCCGACACAGGCCTCCACCTCACAACCCTGAGATTAGGACCGGAGCCAAAATCAAGAGTTGGACACTTAACCGACAGGGCCGCCCAGGCGTCCCTGAAGTTGTACTTTCAGGAGGTTTTCTTTTTTTGGAACCTTCCAAATTCACACACCTGTGGGCGGGGGGCACAAGTGTACTTAAAAAAAAAATAACTCGTTTGGAGTCTCATCATAAAATACTGAGAAGACACTTAACTAAATCCTCTGTGACAATCAGATGTCCTTCCTTCCAGTCTCTCGCTACTCGGCCGCCTACACACCTGTGTGTAGCTCTGCCTGTGGTTTTCCCAGCCGGGCTCCAGCCCTGGCAGTAACAGCCCAGGACCTGGAGCGGGAGGTCACAGGCCGGGTGGAACCGGAGGCCTGAAGGACAAGGCCTCATCTTCCGCCTCTGCAAGCGGGGACTGTGGCACTAACTGTGTCTGTCAGTGGGGACACAGGACCAGCCCCTGGGCTCGTCCCATGGACCAGAAGCACGGAGAAGACCTGACTCCCCATCAGCAGCCTCAGGAAGGATTCGAGGCTTCGTGTCACCCCGGCCTCTGCCCCTTCTTCAGCCTCCCCAGAAGGAGGACTGCCAGCCTCTGCGGGTCATTTCTAGTGACAAGGACACCCCCCTCTCCAGGCAGCTCATTCTATGTTGAGACGGCTCTGGCAAACCTTTGTGGGCAGCTTCCTCTGAGGTTAAATGAGGTGCTTTCCAGCACATTCTAGAGCAGGGAGAAAGTCAGTGGTGGTATAAGCTGAAGGCCATTGTGGTCTCTTTCTGCCCCTTGAAAAGGGCAGCATGGGGACCTATCAGCACGTAAAGATAGGGGAGCCCTGGGGCAGGCTCCCCCATGGGCATATCTCAGAAAGAAGCCCACATGGCTGACCAGCCAGGGAGAGCTCAGAGGCTGGAGGGACGCAAGCTGAGGTACCACCGGGCCCCTTGCTCTACTGCTCACAAAACTCCTAATTCAATGGCCCACTTTTCCCACAAAGGCCAGAGGAGGCGTCAGCTTCAGGCAGCGCTAGATCCAGATGCTCTAATCAGGTCACCACAATCTCTCTCTCCCCATCTCCAGACTCCGCTTTGACCCTCGATCAGGATTCTCTCTGGGGTGCCAGAGATGGCCACTGGAACTTCCTGGCTTACACTTCACCGGCCATTTTCCTAGAGGTTCTGGAAAATCCTGGGCTAACTCACCAGCCCCACTCAGATCACAACCCCACAACTATGGCCAGGAGCTCTTCATGCTTCAGACTGGCCAAGCCTGAGTCCCATGCCCAGGCCTGTGTTGCCAGGGTGCTGGAGGTAGACGAGGGTGACCCCAAAGAAACACAAGGATCACACCCAGCACAGGCGGAAACAAAAGGTGCCCACCACCCCACCCTGTTTATGTACTACGGCCCTTCAGAATGCCCCCAACCATGGTACGTCTAAGTTTTATCACCCTTAAGAGGAATTCTGGCCCCCTTGGGAGTAACATCACCCCTACCGGGCATGCATGGGCTAAAGTGAGGGGCCAGTGTCCCTCCACCAACAGCCAATCAAAGAGCAAGTAAACCGAGCAGGTGTGGAGGAAGGCCAACCCAGGCAAAGCCAGAGGGCAAGGCCAAGAGGGGTGTGTCCCGCCCCCCACCCGGCCCCGCCTCTCCCACCCTGGCAGCCACTGACCTCACCACCCACGCCCACCTGTGCCTCTCCCATGCCTTCTCACCCGAGGCCCTTGTGGGTCCCTCCCCAGTTCCCAGGGGCGCCCAGCATCCGGGTGGACTGGAATGCTGGGAGCTGACATTGCCCGAGGCCCCTAAGCCTGGAAACTAGGAAGACCAGAGGCCTCCCCTTCAAAACAGCCCAGTGGGGAAGAGGCTGGAAGCAAGAGGGGCCCTGCCCACGGCAGGCAGAGCCGAAGTGGTCCCACACGGCCACCGTGGGAATCCGGCATCACCTGCTGGATCACATGCACTCCCCACGACGCTGCAATTCCAACGCAAACCTCTACCCTACGAGGACCACGCCCACGTGCCCAGGAACAAGGGTCAGACGTTCCTGGCAGCACTTCAAAGAACGGCCACACCAGGACCCACCCAAGTGTCCCCACCAGGGAAGGGGAGGAATGGGGCGTGTTCATAGCACGGATGCAGGACCACCAAGTTGAACCACTTATGCTCCGTGAAACATGCAGTAACTCCAGACGAAGCTCAGCTCAGGAAGACCCGACTGCATTCTGGAGGGAAGCTGACCCACACGGGAGAGCCAGAGAACACCACGAAGTGGTTCCCACGCAGGGTGCCATGGAGGCCTCCGTGGCTTCCCAGCCCCATGGGGCGCAGAGCACATGGTTTCTCTAGCTGTCCTTTGGGGCCTGTGTGTCGCGAGTGCCATCTGCAGGGGAAAGGGGGAGGTGCAGCGTCCCCCACCCCCCACTCCTTACAGAAATGCAGGGAGTAATGGGACCCAAGGTGGCCAGCAAGAACTTTCTAGCAGCTACACTGACAAAAATAAGAATAAGCAGGTGAAATTAACATAAGATGCCAGCCTCTGCGCATGTAATCAGTATACAACACGACAAATGAGCTTTTCCACATTTTTTGTCTCCTGTTCAGTCTTTAGATCTGTATTCCGTACTTCAAGCACATCCGACTGAGACCAGCCACAGTTCAAGGCAGCCTGTGGTCCCCGCACTCAGCAGCACAGCTCTAGAGTGGCCAGTGACAGAGAGGTCCCCACCCACTCCCCCGCGCACAGAACCCGGCCCCCCTCTTAGCCAGTTGGCTCACTGGCTGCCTTACCTGCACCGGAGCCCCTTTCACTCTGTGCTGCACGCCAACAAAGGCAGATTCACATCCTTACGACAAACAACAAGATAGGAAACTGTACCGCCTTCCGGAAAAGACAGACTAAGCCCCAGCCTCTGCGCTCAAGGCCAGGTGAGGCGCTGCCCGGAGGGGAGACGGTTTCACAGACACCATCAGCGTCACCCACCCCTGCTGAAGGTCCGTCGGGTGTCAGGCACCAAAGGGTACCTAAGTACAGCATCTCCTGAGATGTATAAAATAAGTTAGTGTGGCCACGGAAAGATGCCACCGAACACTGTCCAAGGAAGTAGCAAGTTGTACAGTAATATAATGCTATTTTCATAAAAAAATCTTTATATTATATATATATATATATATATATATATATATATATATATATATAAAAAAGCATGCACATGTATACACACAGGCACACAGGCACACACGCACACACGTGTGTGTACCAAACGTTTATCTACACACAGTGAGCAGCCTAGAAAGGTCGGGCCAACTGTTGATGAGGCTGATGTCCCTGGAAGATGGCATCGGGGGGACTCTGAAAAGCGCCAGCCCCAGTGCTGGGAGGCAGGACAGGAGCAGCACCATGCAGTGGGGGCGGCACCGTCAACAGAGCGTCCGCCAGACGGTGGCTAGCCCCCCAGCTCAGCAACAGGCCTGGGCTCTGCACCTTTAGGGATCGGTGGAATTAGGGCCCTTGGAGCTCCAGGCTGCTCTCCTGAAATGCTTCCGAGGTTGGTGAGTGGGGTCTCCCTTACTTCCTTAGGCCAGACATAGCCAAGGGGACCCTGAAAACCCTCCCTTTGAGGGCCAATATTTCAGCTGTGCCAGGAGCTTGAAGAGAGCTGCTAGTGCCCTGGAAGGGTCCAGGCCGTGGCCGGAAGGGACTTTCTGGCCGCAGATCCACCTGCATCAAGCCTTCCTCATTCACCTTGTGTCCACCCCAAACCCACAGGTCTCCTGGGTCTCACACACGAGAGAGGGGCTTCACAATGAATAGGACCTTCTAATCCATTTCCCTGACCCTGGTTTGTTTTTGTTTTTTGTTTTTGTCTTTTTAAGATTTATTTAATTTTAAAGAGAGAACGAATGTGACTGGGGGGAGGGGCAGAGGGAAAGCATCTCCAGCAGACGCCCCACTAAGAAGGGAGCCCCACACAGGGCTCAGTCTCATGACCCGAGATCATGATCTTAGCTAAAACCAAGAGTCGGACACCCAACCGACTGAGCCACCCAGATGTCCCACTTCTCTGACCCCATTAAGCAGATCACTCAGGACAGATGCCACCCTCCTCTCCCCTCCCACCCCCACTACCAATCCAAATACCCCTTGGTACTTGAGTAACCATATTTTAGCCAAGTCTCTCCAGCATCTACAAAATTATACTGAACAGCCACAATCAAACCCATCCGGAAAACACAAGTCAATGCTCTGATGTCTAAGACATCCTCCACAAGCCAAACCCCGAAACCGCAAGGCACCTGCCCATGCCTACAAGCACCTGACCTGAGAAGTGTCACTGGGGACCCGCCCAAGACTAGGCTGCACTTCTGACCCAGGAGATTAACAAAAGCTCCTCTGGAGACCAAGGTTTGGTTCCAAGAGGTCCCTGACCAAGGAAGGATCTGCTCTCTCAAGGTTCTCTGTCTCCCACAAACAGACATGGCAGAGCCCCAGAAGGAGGGTGACCAGGAGGGGCACCGGCTGGAAGCTCCAGGGGCAGGGAAGGCTCTGACCACCTGGCCCAAAGGAGCACGGCCCAAATTCAGCCCGACCTGCTGTGGCTGGGGACAGCTTGGAGCCCTTGCTCTTTCTCTCCATGCTCCACCCTATTCGAACCCCAGTTTTCAGTCTTGGACCTACTTGACCACTCCTGCGACGAAAAGATCAGCGAGGTCCGGCCTTAGGGCACACTTACACAGAGGTCAGCGGATGTCCATATACCATTCTTTTTGGAAAGAACAACCCCCTTTATTTGGGGGAAGAAAACAAAACAAAAACATGGGACACCCCAGGAATCCACGGAGGAAGGCAGGCAGATGAACCTGACCATGAGCAGGGCACTCACCTGAACTTTCCCGTCCGCACCTGCAGGGCCCTCATTCCGCACCGCTGGGCACCGCCAACATCTCCCACGATATCGTCTCCGATCATGATGGCCTGCCGGGCAGACACATGAGCTCAGAAGTGATGTCAGGACAGTTTATTCTGTGCTCCTTCATCTTTTCTGACATAAGCAACCGCTTGATTTGATGCTTAAAACTACCACCATACAAATTAAAGAAGGCAGCGTTGTCATGGTATTGATCGAAAGTCGACCCACCTTGAATATATCTCCCACTGCACCCCTCCACTCCCTGCCCAAGAGCCAAGGGGCTCTAACAGCGCATACGTAGGCAACATGAAATCAACCCACAGGAGTCGAAATGACACAGTGTCACAGGGATGTGTGGCGACGCCGACCCTGTCTTGCCTCTCCTCCAACACAGGCTCCATTTTACCTGCAGCCAAATGCTCTACCCAGGAGCCAACCACTAGTTCTGTGAAAACTGACTAAATTTCTGGCAAACCATTGTAGCTCACAGTTTAGGAGGTCTTGATTTCAATAATGAACGTATTACTACAAAAGCCAAACTAACGTGCAAACACACACACACACACACACACACACCGGAAATGCTTGCAGCCTGGCTGTCATTTCCAAAAGCATCTTGTGGGGTATACTCTCCCACCCGAAACAGTAGGAAACCAAAGAGACTAGAAGAAACAACAGTTTTCGAGTCGCTGGACATCAAGCAGTGAAGGACAGTGATTTGGGACACTGGAAACATGAGGGGAACCCATGAGTGCCTCCGGTTTCCAGACTGTAGGTACAGGGAGGGACCACACAGAGGCTGGCAGCCTCCTGGAATTGAGGGACAAAGCTAGGCGCTGGGAGACTGAGGCAGCTGAAGTTCCCAGGATGGAGTGTCAGAGAGGAGGGGGCTACCCGGAGAGAGAGGAAGGGTGCAGATCTGCAGAGTGTCCCTCTGAATGAGGCAGCATTCATAGACCGCTGATCAGCACACATGAGTGAGGAAACTACCCGAGGCCAGGAAAAGAATCACTCTGAAAAATGAAAGAAAACATCACCCACACCTCAAATGGGGATGAGAATAGTGCCTGTTTCCACCAGCCAGACTGGAAAGTCTCATAATGCACGGGGGCACTGAGTCGCGTTCTCAGAAGCACCTTGCCTCAGAGTGGGGAGTAATTAGCCTTAGACCAAACCCTGCTCTGGGACTGCCCCCCAAATCTTAAAGCAAGCTCTGGAAGGATCCAACTGTTTCCAAGCTGTTTAACTACATCCCAGAACAAAATAACCAGCACCCAAAAAAGGTAAAATTCACAACGTCTGGCAACTAATTTAAAAAAGTGATCAGACATGCAAAGAAGACAAATATCACACATAATGAGCAGAAAAAAAATCAGCCTCAACTGACCCAGAACTCACACAAATGTGGGAATTACCAGACAAGGACATTTTATTAGTCACTGCAGCTATCTTTCATGTGCTCCAAAAGTTAAGTAGGGATATGGTAGATAAAAGAAAAGATCCCAGCTGAAGTTCTTGAACAGGCAACTAGACCGGATTTTTTTCAGATGGAGAAGAACTGCTTTGATTTTTAATTACTAGTCAGTGCAACTTACTGATATTTGTAACTGATGGCAAGTGAGTGGTACTAAATAATGCTTACATTTTATTTACATTTTTAGCATTTGAGATACATTATGTCTGGAATGGAAAACCCACTGGATGAAATTAATACTGGATTATATAATGCAGAAGAAAACATTAATGAACTTGAAGATACAGTAATAGAAACCAACCAAAATGAAACCAAGAGAAAAAATAATTTAACAAAAATGAACAGAATGGGGCACCTAAGTGGTTCAGTTGGGGTAAGCGTCTGCTTTAGGCTTGGGTCGTGATCCTGGGATCCAGGATGGAGCCCCGCATTGGGCTCCCTGTTAGGTAGGGGAGCCTGCTTGTCTCTTTCCCTCTGTCCCTCCCTGTCCCTGGTCATGCGCTCTCTCTCTCTCAAATAAATAAATACAATCTTTTTAAAAAGTGAACAGAGCCTCATCAAACTATGATGTGACTTCAAAGGGCCTGATACACGTGCAACTGGAATTCCTGATGGTGAGATGAGAGGAGATGACAGAAACAACATCGGACTTCCTCCTAATGGCTGAAAAGCTTCCAAACACAAGAAAACTCATAAAGCCACAAATGCAAGATCCTAATCAACATGAAACACAAGAAACATGAAGAAAATTACATTAAGGCACAACATAATCAAATTGCTCAAAGTCAGTAATAAGGCAAAAATCTTAAGACTGCTGGTGCAAAATAAAAAGTGGGGGACTACCTAGGTGGCCCAGTTGTTAAGCATCCAGCTCAGGTCATGATCCAGAGTTCTGGGATCAATCCCAGGACTGGGCTTTCTGCTCAGCAGCAAGCCTGCTTTTCCCTCTCCCACTCCCCCTGCTTGTGTTCCCTCTCTCACTGTCTTTCTCTGTCAAAAAAATAATAAAATCCTTACAAAAAAAAAAAAAAAAAAGCAGTCACATGCTTTTTTTTTTAAAGATAAGACATGCAATTTCCCACTGAAAAACAAAGATAAGACATGCGATTTCCCACTGAAAACAATGCAGGTGAGTAGCCAGTGGGGAAATGCCAACATAGAATTCTATACCCAACGAAAGTATCTTTCAAAAACAAAGGTGAAATAAAGGTCTTTTCAGATGTCTTAAGCTAAAAGAAATTATCACCAATAGATCCACACAAAAGACATGTAAAAGGAAGTCTCTTAGGCAAAAGGAAAGTACTAACTGGAAATACGGATCTGCCCAGAGGAACAGGGAGAGGGTGACCTATGACGCATGGCTACCCATCTGCCCGCTTAGCCCCCTTCTTCTACTGGCCAACTCCTAACAGGCTTTCAAGACCACCACCTTTGAAGCTGCCGGGGCTCCAAGGCCCTCCCCAAAGCCCTCCAATTACCCCCCTGCCCTGCACGTCCCCTACTGCACTGTACTGATTATCTCTCTTTCTGCAGCAGGTGAGCTCCCGCAGGCAGGGGCATGTGCTGATGCTGGCACTCAGCTGACAAGCTCATTGAGGGAACCAGTATTCGGGAAGAAGGCGTGGCTGTCCGTGTCTGGGGGCAGGTAGGAGGCAAAGCTGAGCGGACTCTCCACTGGTCACCAAGGTAGAGTCGACTTCGGGACTGCCTGAGCTTTATTCATCTGTGGGCGTACTTATGCCCACATCGATATGTATTATTGATATTCTTGTTCAAATCGATTCATACTTTCTTAATAACAGAATGTGTTTCTAAAGAAAAAACAGCAGCTCCCCTCACTCAGCTACCACAGAACTCTGATTAAAAGCTTCAAAATATTTTAGGAGAAGATGTGGAAATAAAGTCCAATGCCTCAGACATCAAACACGTCCCTAGACCTGTTCTCAAGTTCAGTCAGGAATTTACGTGGTTGGAGGCCCAACAGGCCTGAGAAAGCAGACTCCTGTGATAAGGCAGTGTCTGATGGGGCCGGGACAGAAGCTTCAAAACCAACAGTTACTCCACAAGTCTTCTCTCTGGAATCCAGATGCCAGGTATGGCGAACCAATGAAGGAACCCACAAGCCAATGTCAAGGAATATAAAAGTGATGACTGTGAAGCTTTCACGCTGGGGGAGTTCTACCCATGGGAGGTGGGGGGGGACAGGAGTCCACACGGAGCCTGTCTTCCATCTTAGAGTAGGGGTACAGGGTAGTAGAAAACAAGGCAGGCCCTATGTGATGAGCAGAATGGACAGACTGAGTTTGGGATTCAGACGGGGACAGAGCAACCAGGCTCACATCCCAGCTTTGTTATTTGCGAGCTCTGTGGTCTAGGGCAAGCCTCCACTTCTATCTGTAAAATGGGTACAAACGGTGTGGCATTTAAATGAAATCATGCAAGTTAAGCATCAAGGACAGTGCCTAGACTTGTTTACTGTACATCTTTAAAAGGAAAAAAAAATGAGGAAATGTTTTGTTGGGGAAATTCCTAATCTAGCTCTATTGGAGACACTCCAGTCTCTATGATGGCACTCTTGCCTCCAGCATCCCAGCTCTTTTGTATCAAGCCCTTTTGGGGACAGGCAGTAAGGACCCAGGGAGTCAGAGACACCATCGCTGCCCTCATGAAGCCTCCAGTGGAACACAAAAGACAGAGCTTCATCAGTTAATTTCACAAATACATAGCCAAGACCTCTGCAAAAGTACAGGAGGTTGTGAAGGAGTAGTGGTCAGGGAAGGCTTCCTGGAGGAGGTGATGTTTTGAGCTTTGATCTGAGCAGAAGAGGCCAACCAGGTTAGGAGGTAGGGGAGGGGGGTGCAGGCATTCCCAGCAGGGAACACCACGTGTGTACTAACAGCCCATCTGCCACCATTCACCAAGGCAAGCCACACAATGAATTCCACAAAGTACAGGTTAATAAGCTTGAAGCAACTGTCCTTGAAAACATCTGAACAGGCATTCAAATAGCAGGAGAAATCCTGAGGAGATTGTGGAGAAGGACAGAGACTGAGCTGGTGCCACTCTGGAGGCCAGAGAGGTCGTGCCGGGTGAAATGAGGCTCTTCTGACAACCGCCCCAAGCTGCCTCGCAGCTATGGAGGCTGTCGCTTAATCACACTCAAGCAGAGGCCGAAGGGGCCTCCACCAGTGAAGCCACAGGCAGATGCCGGCCCCAGGAGGAAGCTCGGACACGGACACAGTGAACTGTGCCAATTGTGAGCGGCTCCGGCTCCCGTCCTGCCCCCAGCAAGATGCATGAAGAACTTGAAAAAAACTGCATTTCTTCCAGTGAATATTCTAAACTTTATACGCTTCACAAATGCCCTCTGATCCTGTATCGAATCCCACGCTTCCCAAAGTCAGTTCTGCATATGGGCGACACACTATCTGATTTTCGGTAAAACAAGGACATGCATTTTATCATAACTAGTTGGTGTTTATTTTTAGAGGAATCTATTTATGGGAAGTAAGTGATTCTGGTTTTCCATTTATAGGACTGATCAAAGTTCCTTTCAAAATTCATTTATCTAGGGGCACCCGAGTGGCTCAG